AGATTGGTTCTGAGTACTTTTGTAAAGCATCCTATCATTGGATAGCCGTTTCGTAGCGCAGCCAATCACTATGTGAGCAATTAACGCGGGGCGGGGCTCACAGGTAACTGCCTCCCGCATCGGCGAGCTGCCGCTGCCAGGGCGCCTCACGTCTGGGAGTGGAGCGCTCTGCCCGTCTCTCGCGTGCCCCGTGGGTAGGACTGCTTCCGCCCGCTGATTGGCCAGCGATGCTGCCCGGGCCGGGAAGGCGGGTAGTGAACGGGCAGTTAGCGTGAGGGTGTCACGTGAGCAGGGCCGGATTTCTGTTGCCGTCAGTGGGTTCAGGCACGTATTGTGCGTGGCTGACGCTAGGGCCGCTCGGCCTAACGGCCCCGGCTGCCTGGGACGCTCCTGTCAATTGCAGAAATCCATGAAAAACCCACCAGTCCCGTCAGGGGGCTGCCCGCACTGGTGCTCTGGCCTGATCCAGCAAAACACATACAGGTCACCCCAGTGTCCCTTGGTTGTTTTAAACCCTCAGAAAGGACAGCTGGGGTAGAGAGACTGGTGCCCCTCTGGTTCTTGCTGTCAGTGTAGCTCAGGATGTTGGGCAAAAGCTACATTTACATTTGGAGCAAAAACGCTCCATTGCGTGTGACGATTGAGTGGCCAATAGCAATAAGTCCTAGGGCTATAATTAATAGAAAGGCTGTACTTGCATATAATAGGGAATATAGAGAGTCCCTTTGCCCATTAGTCTCTTTGTTTGTCCTGATACCATTTAAATCATGCTTTTTGTAGAACAGGTGGTGGGGTGTAAAACCACTCCACACTAAATTATAGCCTCCAGTTTTGCTGGTGACAGCTACACCATCTGGTGTACAACAGACACATGTCCAACAGTCTAGCCCCGATAACTTATGAAATAGACATGACATTTAGCCTGACACTAGCCTGATGACTGAAGAAACATAGCATCTAAATGTATAAACTTAGAGCAAATATACACAAAAATATAATATACTGTATTTTATTTTAGATTTTTATAAATATATTTTAAAACCTCTCTGTTACTTCTAGATGCTTTTAACACGCACTAAAATACACGTAATCAAAACAAAAGCAGCCAAACCACCACAAAACTTCATCCCCAGCAATAGTCAGTCCACATCCCAGGGGTGAAAGTAACTTAAAGGATTTACCAGTACTCCGGAGTCCTTAGGAGGGGCCGGGCCTCAACCGGAAGAGGCGGGGCCTTTAAATACCCAGGCACTTTAAATCAGGATTTAAAGGGCCTGGTGCTGGGGCTGTGGTAGCAGTAGCTGGAAGCCCCGGGCCCTTTAAATCACCCCCGGAGCTACCAGCTGCAGAGGCGGCTAGGAGCCCCAGGGATGATTTAAAGGGCCTGGGGTTCCAGCTGCTATTACCGCAGTGGAGCCCCGGGCACTTTAAATCACCATCAGAGGGGGCCCGGCCTCTGGTGGAGCTTTAAAGGGCCTGGGGCAACACTGCAGTATCGGCAGCCAGGAGCCCCTGGCCCTTTAAATCACCACCATAGCCCTGCCTGCCACTACCCCAGGGATCCAGCAGCGGGGCTTGGGTGGCGATTTAAAGGGCCCCAGAGGGTAGCAGCAATGGGAG